TTGATTTTGCAGTTGAAGCCCTGGAGTCGAAGCACCCAACGCTTGACTCTTGGGGAGGCCTGGTCGGTGCTGAACATCCAGGATAGTGAGGAGTGGTCGCAGTGGATTTCAAACTCGGTAAACTCGAGGTAAGGTCTGAACTTGTCTGCTGCCCAGACCACTGCGAGACACTCCCACTCCTGGACGGTGTAACGTCGCTCAGATTCAGTAAGCACCCTGCTGATGAAGGACACCGGTTGCAGTTGGTCGGGGCCTTGCTGTAGAAGCACTGCAGCTATGCCAACTCCGCTGGCATCTGTTTCGACGACGAAGGCCCGATTCAGGTCTGGCAAACTCATCACCGCATCGTGAGCCAGTGCATCCTTGAGCAGGGTGAAGGCATGCTCCTGCTGGTGATTCCAGATCCACTTTCGGTCATTTCTCAAGAGATCGGTGAGGGGGCGGGCAATAGTGGAGAACTGTTTGATAAAGTTCCGGTGATAGCCAACCAAACCCAGAAAGGCTTGCAGCTGCTTGACTGTGGTAGGTCGGGGGTAGTCGAGCACCGCCAACACCTTCCCCTCGTCCGGCCTACATTGTCCAGGGCTTATTACATGGCCCAAAAACTTCAGCGACTGGCAGCACACCTGAACCTTGTCGGGGTTCATGGTGAGTCCTGCTGATCTGATGCGCTCCAGGACTTCTCGGACATGTGCAACATGGCTGTCCAGCGTCTCTGAATACACAAGTACATCGTCCATAAATTCCATAGCAAATTGGTGGTTGATTCCATTCAGGACTCTGTCCATCAGCGTTTGAAAGGAGGCTGGACCACCTGCAACACCAAACGGCATCCTTGTAAACTCGAAGGTGCCCTGGTGGCATATGAACGCCGTCTTCGGAATGTCGTCCTCGCGCATAGGGATTTGGAAAAAACCCTGCGAAAGGCCAAAGCTTGAGAACCACTCCGCTCTCCCGAGTTGTGCCAGCAGCCAGTCGGTTCGGGGCATTGGATACACTGGCACCCTGGTGCGTGCGTTGAGCGGCCGGTAGTCTATGGCCAGGCGAAAGCCTCCGGACTTTTTGGCCAGCAGAACAGGTGCACTGGTCCACTCACTGGTGCTCCGACGCACAAGTCTCTGTTCCCGCAAGTCTTGAAGGCAACTGTCAATGATCTTTTGTTTCTTGGAATTGACGGGACGCAACTTGCAACGAACGGGTGGACTGTCTCCTGTGTCAATTCGGTGCTCAGCAAGGGAAGTGCAGCCGGGAGTTTTGATGAAGATTGGCCCAAAGATCTCCAACAATTTCTTTATAGGAGCATACACTCCCGGTGTCTTTGCAGAGTCTCCATCGCCTTCGGTAGCACTATGGCTGAATGTGGTGGCGCAAGTTGACTCCTCTTTGAATAGGTTCTCCAGGGAGTACAAATATTCTTCTTCCCCAAGCTCGCTGCTTGCTTGCTTTATGGCCTTCACAAATGGAACAATGCGCTGGGGCTCTGTTCCAATTGTCCATCCCCCAAGCGCCACATGCAAGGAGATATCTGTCACTATAAGGAAATCCCTCCCTAAAACAATGTCTCTGCAGAGGTCGGGCATACACAGAAAACGTTGTCTCCGGGAACCGGCCGCCCACCGGATCTTGCACCGAAGAGATGCAGTGGACTGGGACCATCCTGTTGCCAGTCGCAGCGTGCGCACTTCCCTTTTTCGACTGGCACCTGTGGCTTGAGCAGCTGCGATGGCCGGCGGACCCAAAAGACTGACGCTGGAGCCTGTGTCGAGCAGCGCCTTGAACGTTGATGACCCAATGATAACGTCAAGGAAAGGCTCTTTTCCCCCGGCAGTAGTCGCCCCTTGCAGCGCTCTGTCGTAGATGCTCACCGGGACAGCATCTACCAGTGTCCGTTTCCCGGACACTGTGCTTGAAAATGGCCAGGCTGTCGGCACCTGAAGCAGAGGCCTGGACCCAAACGCCGACCCGTGGCACAGGTGCGAGCGGAGTGACCGATTCCTCCACATCTCCGGCAACGGTCGACTCCTTGTTGGCGCTGATGCCACTGAGACATCGGCCGAACTGAATCTGCAACTCCCCCTGACGTTGTGGGCCCTGAAAGCTGGTCCCTGTAGTAGGCTGGTTCGATTGCCGCAGGGTGGAGTGGCCAGCGATACGTCAACGGCATAGCGAGTGTTGCAGATGAGACAGCCGCTGCTAGAGCCGGTGCGAAAGTAGCGGGAATTGCAGTTTCCGTCCCGGGGAAGTCGCGGTTACCTTGTGCCCGGAAAGCTAGGTCGCGGGCCACCTGGTTGCTTCTTGTGGGGGGCGGTTTGTACTGAAGACGCCGCCAGGCACGCTCCATGAGGCCGTCCGCTGCCTTGGCAAGCTCGCTCAAATTCGCGTACTGCGTCCCTTCCGCCAAATCCTGGAGCTGGGGATGCATTTGGCGTAGCACGCGGTCGACCTTTTCTGAGTCGGGCACCTCTTCCCCGATTCTTTCGTAAAATTTGGCGATGGTGTAAATGAATTCCTTGAGGTTCTCCTCGGGGTGTTGAGTGCGGTGTCTCAACTCGTCCTTTAGACGTCGCTTGGCGTCGATTGAGGCAAACTCGGCACGAAACGCCGTCTTGAAATCATCCCAACTGCTGAAGTTACCGATAAAACGCCACCATAATTTGGCGCTCCCATCCAGTGCAGCCGGAACGACCTGGCTGAGACGGTTTTCAGTGGTGACTCCCGTAATCAAACAAAAGTTTTCTAGCCTCTCGATAAATTCTTCGGGCGACTGTCGATCACTGAAGCCTCTGAACTTCGGCAACTGCGCCGCAATTCTTGGCAGAGGGCCGCCAGACGGGTGGACTGCAGCCGCGGTCACCTCGGGTTCGTTGGCTGGGGGCACTGCAGCAGTCAGTAGCAGTTGGCGCACTTGAACAGAAGCTCGCTCCCGATGCATCACGGATCCGTCGTTTTGTCTCAAAAGGCGGGCTATCAGTTCATCTGGCACCTCCAGGTTGTCCATCTCCGATCCCGGACGAGCCCCCACTTGTTAGGATGGAACCTTTACTGTCCGTCCTAAATCCCAGAACCTAACTGCACGTTCCCCCGGTCCGTCCTCGTCGTCTTTCCCAGTCCGTGTTTGTACTCTCGCGGCACGTGCGCGGCACGTGCGCCTGGCATAGTTTTTCGCCAGACACTCCTCACACCATAATGACGTCACACGTGACGTAACGTGTGGCGCCACGAGGGTGAAATTTTCCCGCTAAATTTGCCGGAAAACGTTTTCGCTAAATTTGGCAAGAAAATGTTTCGCTTAGTTTGGCCAGACAGTTTTGCGCTAAATTTAGCAGGGAAATGTTTCCGCAAAATTCAGCGGGCAATTTTTGCTCGTGACGCCACGTGCCGTCATACGCATCTAAAGGGGTGTCCAAACAGGACATTACAAAACGAACGACTCCGACAAATCGTGAAAATTGAAACGGGCGCGTCCGCTTCAATTTTCACGATTTGTCGGAGTCGTCCGTTTTGTAGTGTCCTGTTTGGACACCCCTTAACATTGCCAATATTCCCGCTAAATTTAGCTGATAAAGAAAGATGCTAAAGATTCTCCTAAGCAGATAATTTGAGGCCCATACACTGTAGACGTTAAAGCAACTTGAAGCAGGAATTGGACGCAAGAGGTGCGTAAGCAGGGGCGGATCCAGACCTCCATTTTAGGGGGAGGGAGGGGGGCGGTTCCTCGGTGTAAAACGGCGGGGGGGGGGGGGGTGGAGTGTTTATATTTTTTGTGGAGTTATCGTTTTTACTAATCTCTGATAACATAATATAGATCTTGAGAGCTTTTGTATCGGTTTACCTGTCGGGGATGAACTCTTTGAATCAAAACCTTTCGGGTGACCACGCTAGAGGTAAGTATCTAGAAAATTGTGGTGGGTGTTGTGTTCTGCTTTTATGTTGGCAACACTGTACATACCATGACGTGATCTGGCAACCTATGACTCGCATTAAAAACGCTTTTTCGTTCAACGTTCGAATGGACTAGTCGACCCCTTTCTTCGTGTCCTCAGGACACTACATAATGCCGACGAGGGAAGACCGTTGAAGAACCCTGCCGGGCCTGCTACTGCCTGCTGCCGGTGAGCGGACGCCATGCTCAGTTACAGTCCGTCACCACCCCCGTTCCTCGCTACGCCGGGACCAGCGTGCGTGCCATGGCGGCAGTGGAAGTTAGCTTTCCTGAACTACTTGGAAGCCGTTGGCGGCGACGACTTCGCGCCAAAACGCAGGAGGGCCATTTTGCTCAATGCGCTGGGCCTGGAAGGACAGCGGATCTACAATAGTGTAGCACCGACTACTCCGGCATCGGTCACCAAAGAAAAAGGAAAGGAAGGAGTCACCGAAGGGCATGACGACAAGAACGTATTCGACGAAGCACTGGACGTGTTGGACAACCACTTCTCGACTGCGACGAACGAACTGATGGAAAGACATCGTTTCCGTCAGCGCCGTCAACTGCGGGAGAAGCCTTCGAAGCCTACGCCGCCGCACTTCGTGAGTTGTCGTCGGACTGCAACTTTGGAGAGGCAGCTGACAAGACTATACGCGATCAGCTCTTGGAGGGAACAGCGTCGCAGCAGATACGCGAGCGCCTGCTCTTCGAGGGAACGAGTCTGACACTAAATCGCGCGGTCGACCTCGGCAGGCACATCCAACAGACTCAGCGAGAGCTGAAGGAGTTTGCTGGAGACCCCGTCGTCCAGCGAGTTGTCGACAAGCCGACGAGTGGGAGCACCGGAAAGGCGTCGACTGCGTCGTGCTACCGTTGCGGCTCGACTGCGCACCGCGCGAATGCGAAGGAATGCCCGGCCAAAGACAAGACATGTCGCAACTGCAACAAGCGGGGGCACTTTGCTGCGGTGTGCAAGACGAAGCGGAGGCAAGAAGGTCGGCAGGAAAATCACGCCGCGAAAGAATCGTCGGCGGCCACGAACTCTGTCACGATTTTGAACCTGGACCCTGACAACATGCGAGAGAAAGGGATCTACGTCGACATCGACGTTGACAGCGTGACATTACGGTTTCTGGTCGACACCGGCTCGTCTGTTTCACTTCTGAGTGAAGATATCTTCCACAAGCACTTCGCTGGCCGCTCGCTGACTGACGCGACGGTGACGCTGCTGGATTATTCCAAAAAGCGCATCCCAGTGAAAGGCTGTTTTTTAACTGACGTGGCCTACAAACACACACGCACGTGTGTTCTGTTTCATGTTGTACAGCGTGGCAAGTCACTTCTTGGACTGGATGCCATTCAGAACCTGCAACTGAACATCCACGGCGACACGCTCAGTTGTCTACAAACTGTCGCGCACTCAGCGGAATTGCTGCCAGTGAATTTACGCGGTGAATTCTCACATCTTTTTTCGGGCGAGCTTGGCCTGGCCAAGGGCTTCGTCCATCAAGTCAAGGTGCGTGCATCGGTGAAGCCAGTCGCTGCGAAGCTACGCAGATTGCCCATTACGTTGCGCGAACAGGTGTCTGAAGAGTTGCAACGGTTGGAACGTCTCGACATCATCGAGCGGGTGGATGCAGCGGAATGGACCTCACCCATTGTCGTGGTTCGGAAGAAGGACGGCACAATCCGGTTGTGCGTCGACTTGAGGGAACCGAACAAAGTCATCATCGTGGATGGGTTCCCACTTCCCCATACTGAGGAGCTGCTGCACCAGATGGTGGGTGCTACCAGGTTTTCAAAGCTCGACTTGGCATCTGCGTACCACCAGGTCGAACTGACGCCCGACAGCCGCGAGTTAACAACTTTCGTCACCCACGATGGTCTGTTTAGGTTCAAGCGTGTCTGTTTCGGACTTGCATCAGCGCCGGCTGCCTTCCAAAAGATGATGTCGCTCATCCTGAAAGGATGCAGTGGGGTTCTCTGTTACATTGACGATGTCATTGTGTGGGGGAGGACGACCAGCGAGCACCAAGAAAACCTGAGACGTGTCCTGAGGCGCATTTCCGAGGCTGGACTCCAACTGAATGACAAGGGCGTGTTCGACGTAGACCACCTTTCTTTCCTCGGACACGTGGTGGGCAAGGAGGGCCTCGCTCCTCTGCATTCGAAGGTGGAGGCCATCGTTCAAGCACCAGTACCGAAGGACGTCTCGGCGTTGCGGTCATTTCTGGGACTCGCAGGCTACTACTCCCGTTTTGTCCCACACTATTCTGATGTGGTCGAGCCTCTCAGGAAACTTCTGCGTCAGAGCCAGGCATTCACTTGGGATGACGCATCGCAGAGGAGCTTTGAGAAGATCAAAGAGGTTCTGTCGTCGGGTCCCGTCATCAAGATGTTCAACCCTAACCTTCCAGTAGTTGTGACTACCGATGCATCAGACACTGGCCTTGGAGCTGTCCTTCAGCAACAAGCTGGGCAAGAGCTACACACTGTGGCCTTTGCATTCAGGTCACTGACTTCTACCGAGCGGAGGTACTCTGCTGGGGAAAAGGAGGCGTTGGCGTGTTTGTTTGCTTGTGAACATTGGCACATCTACCTCTGGGGCCGAAGGTTCCTACTTAGAACGGATCACCAGGCGCTTGTGACTCTGTTATCGTCCAGAGGTTCCGGCAGGAGGCCACTACGAATTGCAAGGTGGTCAGCGAGACTTCTTTACTACAATTTTGACATCGTCTATCAGAGAGGCAGCGACAATGCTGTCGCAGATGCGCTGTCCCGACTACCTTTGGTGGCAGCAGCAGAGCCAGAGATGGAGGAAGAAGTTGTGTCTTTAGTGTCATCTTGCATCACCAAGGATCAAGTGCAAGTCGCAACGGCCAAGGATTCTACCCTACAGCTAGTGACCAAGTACCTTGAGAAGGGATGGCCGGCAAAGAGGATGCTCACTCAGGAGCTGATGCCTTTCTTCCAGCTTAGGGAAGAATTGTCTATGGTGGATGGCATAGTCTTCAGGGAAGACAAAGTTGTTGTGCCGGATTCGCTGACCTCGGACTTGGTTTCTTTTGCACACGAGGCACACCCTGGCATCGTGAAAACCAAACAAAGACTTCGAGACAAGTTCTGGTGGCCCCGGATGGACAGGCAGGTGGAGTGTGCCGTGCGAAGTTGTCACGTGTGCCAATCAGCCGACAAGTCAGCCAAACCGGTCGTGGCACCACTACGTCCAGTTACTCTCCCGGAAAAGCCCTGGCAGAAGCTGGCTATGGACATCGTGGGCCCGCTGAACCTGACCACCGCAGGTCCTAAGTTTGTCGTCACCCTTGTGGACTACCATTCCAAGTGGCCGGAAGTTTGTTTTGCAAATACAGTTACGTCACAAGCGGTGATAGATTTCTTGCGAGGCGTGTTCAGTCGGGAGGGCTATCCGGAAGAACTCGTAACAGACAACGGGCCACAGTTCAAGTCAAACTTTTTGAAGACTTCCTGAACCAAAGAGGAATCAAGCACTGTGTCTCGTCGGTATACTACCCACAGGCCAATGGGTTGGTCGAACGATTCAACAGGAGTCTGAAGGACTTTATTCAAGTTGCAGTTTTGGAAGGACGACCGCTTAAAGAAGCCGTCGTGGACTACTTGGGCGTATATCGATCTACCCCACACTCAACCACAGGAGTGTCTCCTGCTCAGCTCCTCCACGGTCGTCAACCAAGGACCCGACTTGACATCATGGGCCTTCCGTCAAAGAACTTCTTCCAGGAGCCAGCCACGGCAATGGAACAGTTACGAGCTCGTGTCCAAAGCAAGCAGCGCTCGACGAAGGAGTATACAGATGCAAAAAGAAGTGCCAAAACTCCAAAATTCAAAGAGGGAGATTTCGTACGGGTTCGTAAACCCACAAAAGGCGGTAAGGATGAGCTATCATATTCCCGACCACTGAAAATACAAAAACAGGTGGGTTCATGCACTTTCCGCTTGGAAGACGGACGCAGCTGGAATGCCTCCAAGCTGGTGGCTGTGCCTGAGGAGTGCGTCACGGAAAGAAGTAAACGGTTGCTACACTTGCTACCCGTTCCTGGAGATCAAGAGCAGTCAGCCAGGAGAACAGTCTCGGACAACCAAGGCGAATACTCCGTTGGGGAGAATCGCGAAGCTTTGGCAACACCATGTCCAAGTTTCTGGAGGCGCAGACTTGGTTGACGAACATCGCCTAGCAGCTTCGGAGACGCCAATACAAATTACGATTGGACCAGATTCCATTGAAGAACAACGTGGGGAAGTTTTGACAATCGCCGGTACAAGTGTCACAAGATGAATGTCCTGTTGTTGGACTTCGACTGGAAGATTCTGCGGCGCCTACACAGGCTCGAGGAACGACGTGGTCGGACGGACCTTGCAGAGGACCGTCGACAAGAGAACGACGGCGTCCCTCCCGTCTGCAGGACTTTCATATAAATTAGCCATTTTTTGCTTAGTTGTTTCGTTTTTCAGGGGGGGATGATGTTGTGTTCTGCTTTTATGTTGGCAACACTGTACATACCATGACGTGATCTGGCAACCTATGACTCGATCCGGAGTATACCGGTAATGACAACGCGATCCTGGATAGAGACATCGAGCAGTGGGAGGTCAGAGCGGCCATGCAAAGGCTCAACGGCAGGTCGGCCGCCGGCCCGGACCGCATCACCAACAAGGCGATCAAGAACTTAAGCGATGATGCAATTAAGCACATCACGAAATACTTCAACAAGTGCTGGAGAGAAGGCACGTTGCCTAAGCAATGGAAAACGGCCAAGACGATCTTGATCCCTAAGCCAGGCAAGCCACCTAGCGTGGAGAACCTGCGGCCGATCTCGCTTACATCGTGCGTGGGCAAGCTGCTCGAACACGTACTGCTTAGCAGGTGGAAGCAATACCTGGAAGACTCGGGCTTGTACCCAGACTCTATCATTGGCTTTTGGAAAAAGTTGGGAACGCAGGATGCGATGATCCAGTTAAAACACGAAATCGTAGACGTACCGCTAAGTACCGGAGACAATATGGCAATTCTAGGGCTAGATTTACAGAGTGCCTTCGACAAGGTAGAACACTCTGCCATTCTTGCCCAGGTTACTAAATTGGACATGGGGAGGCTGTCCTACAACTACATTAGAGACTTCTTAACGGGAAGAACCACTAGACTGTGTGCGGGCGACGTAGAACTAGACGAGAAAGAGCTAGGAAGTGTCGGTACCCCACAAGGGTCGGTAATCTCCCCCCTGCTCTTTAACTTGGTCATGATAGGAGTGGCCCAGCGGCTACAGGAAGTTAGAGACGTCAGACACACCATTTACGCTGACGACATCACGCTATGGGTCAGCAAGGGCAGTGATGGACAGATAGAGGATCGGCTGCAAGAAGCCGTATTGGCAATTGAGGATCACCTCGAGGGGTCGGGACTTGTGTGCTCTCCAGCGAAGTCAGAGCTGTTACTTATCCCCCCCAAGAGGGTAGGAAGGCGGAGAAAAGACGCACCGATTATGGTGGAACGACCAAATATCACGATCCGAACCAGAGGGGGACAGAAGGTCTCGGAGGTTGACAGGATCAGGGTGTTGGGAATGCTCTTCGAGAGGAACAGGGTGAACGGGGCGACGATCACCAAGCTCAACAATAAGGTCATGTCTACCACCAAGTTGCTAAGACGAATCTCCAACCGCAAAGCCGGTATGAAGGAAGAAAGCATGATCAGACTCGTGCAGTCCTTTGCAATCAGCCATATCGCATATGTGGCTGCCTTTCACAAATGGACGCCTGCTGAACGAAACAAGATAGACGCTCTCATTCGCAAGGTTTACAAGATAGCTCTCGGACTACCGGGCAACGTGAGCACGCAGACGCTTCTCGAGTTGGGGCTGCACAATACCCTAGAAGAAATAGCAGAAGCTCAAAGAACGGCGCACCTCGAGCGGCTCTCTAGCACGAGAACTGGGAGGAAGATTTTACAAGACTTGGGCGTCAATCCCAGCGGCGTCGCGTCGGGGGACACGGTGCCAATACCGAGCCAAATGATGACCAGACTCCAGGTGTACCCGATACCGCGAAACATGAACCCCATACACGACACGGGGAGACGCGCGGCGCGGGCGAGAGCCATTGTGGACAGCTAAGCGCAGGACGAGAGAGCCGTGTACGTAGATACGGCGGAATACCAGGACCGGGGAGAGGCCTACACGGCGGTGGTGGTGAACGCATCGAATGGAGCGACCAGAGCTGCAGCCAGCACCCGAGTTCGCAACTCGCATCAAGCGGAAGAAGTGGCCATAGCTCTAGCTGTGGCCGACCCAGGCTGCGACACGGTGATCAGTGATTCCAGGACAGCAGTGCTTAGTTTTGCAAAGGGTAGGGTGTGTGGTGCGGCGGCTCGCATTTTGCGAGCGGCCACAACGACAGGACGTAATCGTGATGGTGCAGTGGTGATCAAGTGGATCCCGGCCCACATGGGCAGTGAAGTGTCGGTGAACGGTAATCCCAACCACAACGAGACGGCCAACGTCGCAGCGCGAGGACTCACCAACCGGGCGGCGACTAACGGGACAGTCTCAAGTGGTGGAGAGTGGTTTAGTATGAAGGACCGCATGACTACGTATAACGAAATAGTGAAGTGGTATAGGTTAGGAAGGAGACTAGTACCTCCCCCTCATTCCGAGCTAAAACGTGAGGAGGCTGTGATTTTTAGACAATTACAGACAGGGTCGCTATTAACACCGGTGCTAGCTAAACACATATATCCAGGACTTTACGCGGACGACACCTGTGGACTTTGCAAGAAGGCGAGGGCCACCGCGTCGCACCTGTTGTGGGACTGTGAACTCAACCCAAGAGAGGCAAGCGAGAAGACGACGATTCCCCCCGCAGTTCGAAGACGCGGCGCGGAGCTGTGAATTAGAGGTTCAGCGTAGGGCCGTCCGGCTGATCGCAACCGCTCTAGATAGGCAACGGGCAAGGGATGATGGGGGAGGTGAGGGAGCTCGCGGAGGTCCGATGGGCTCCCCCTCTCGGCCCCAGATAGAAAAGGGGCGCGCCCGGGGCCGAGGGCTGGTGGGAGGGGAATAGCCGAGGGGGTCGTACCGCGTGGCGCGTAGTCACCACCACCTGCGTGTGGAGGGGCTACCGCCAACTGCTGGTTGCAAATAAAAGTTGTTCACCACCATTAAAAACGCTTTTTCGTTCAACGTTCGAATGGACTAGTCGACCCTTTCTTCGTGTCCTCAGGACACTACAGTGGGACTATCCTTTCTCAACACCATAACACAAAGAATTTTGTAGTTCATAGGAAACGGGATTACCCCATTCGCATGGCAGCGCGCTAGAAATAGAAAAAGAAGTTTAACTACTGGAGATGAATGTTTGGTGCTATAGCGGCTGTGATAATTGCAGACAGTGTAACTTGATGGCTCAGATATCCCCGGCGGGGCTACAACTTTTGGGCTCCTTTTGCTTGAATATTTATATAATCTCGTTACACCCGCAGAGCATGTACGGAGAGCCAACCTTTGCCAACTATACGGAGGAAGCTCACGCAGCTAATGACAATGCGCAAAACGTTTTAATCTAAAAGTCGGCTGTTCTTTGAGATTAAACTTGCCATAGTAGTTAGAACTTTATATTCAGTGCCAAAATGCAGAACGTGGTTTTAAAACATACTTTTCATTGACATTGACTTGGCAGACATTCTGGTTGGAGCTAGTGCTCAACTGCCGCGGCAACGGGAAGAGCGGCTTAAATCAATGGAGCGAATACGTTGCAAACAAGCGACAAAAATGGCCCGGCGGCTTCGACGCTGCTCGCGGCGTCAAAACACTGTTGACGCAGCGAGCGAAACGAACGCTGCCAGGCAAGTTCGTCGGTTGTTCGCCGTATATTTGGAATGTCCAGAGCGCAGCACATGCGGCATTGCCAACCCAAACTCGTTTTTTCACGTGTTCTGGATGCAACTCGAGAGAACGAAAGCGAATAATTGTTGAATATTTTTGAAAGCATGTTGCAGTTCGGCAACTATAACTTTTGAACTTAGACAAGAACTTAAACCAGCAATGGATCCTCCCAAATTATATTCGATTGCACTTCGTCTGGATATTTTCTGTATGAAAGGAACACTTACTTGTTTCTGGTTAGTTAGCTCAATCGACAGGGTCGAGAGGACAGGTGCAGAGATATGATGGGGCAGAGCGGTTGTCCGGTCGGCGAATCTCAACTGGGCTAAAGGCCGATTACGACTGCAGCATGGATGTTTGGGAGTCGGTGTTCACTCGAACGGGCACAGGCAGTGTCTATTTGAGTTATGTATAGTCGCATCTTTGAAAGGGCTCGTTTTTCCGAAGTCCCTAGGTAGGGAATTCGAAGCCGCAGTTGCAAACCAGCAAGCCCCGCCTCTGTTCCGTTCGACACACACATATTCGCTGCTGCAAAGCCGCGCGAAAGCTCTGCCGTCAATCCACAGAAGCCGCGTTTAACTCGAAAAGTAAAGACGGCGCCAAGGGGAGACAAGGGATAGCGGGCGCCTTTCCTAAAATATGTTCCGCCACCCTAAGTTGAAACGGCATTGTATACAACTAATGCCTACGGCGTCGGCTTGAGGACCCCGTGTAAGCAGCCTCCAGCCTTTAGAGTGCTCGTACCATTTAGCTTTGTTTTATTAGCTTCCCGCCACGAGAAGTCGTACCGCAGGCAGTATGAAGCCCATTAGAGGAAACATCTCCCCCTTCTGGCGCTCGTCGGCTTCTTTCTGTATTCCGCGCTGCGGCGCTGATCCTCAGTGAGGGATGGAGGCGAGGACGAAAGCGGGCTTATGTTTAAGTCAAGGTCGTGGGGAAGTCCGGAGCGTTATCAGGAGAAGCTCAGACCCAGACTACACTCTACCCAGAGCATTTGCTTCCTCTCTGAGTTGAGACCTGGTTGTACAAGCTGCATCCCCCCCCCCCCCCCCCTGGAACGTCTCTTTTTGGTACGTCCCCTCCGCACTTCCCTTGGCAATGAGCACACCGTGCCAATAAGATACCTTTAGCGAGCCCGTCGGCGACAGCATCTCAAATCAAGCCAAAAAATACATGCCAAAAGACAAGCCCAGAACCACGAAGAAACCATCAAACGCAAAGTGATGAAAAAGCGGCCCGCTAGAGAGGAAGGATAATCCGCTGTGTATAGGATCGTACCCTTGG